CTGATTCTGTTGCAGCTCACTGATTCTGTTGCGGCCCACTGATTCTGCAGCAGCCCACTGATTCTGCTGCAGCCCCTGATTCTGCAGCAGCCCACTGATTTCTGCTATGGCCCACTGATGGATTCTGCTGCATGAAGACCACTGAGCACTCAGCTCTTGAGAGATGAGTGTGTGTTCACAAACTATATTCTTACATCATAAATATGGAGTTTAATTAAACAAACCAATAAAATACAAGAAGACAAGTGTAATTTCCGCAATTGCATATATTGTAAATGCCTCACTAAGAGCCAGGATAAGTATGCCTCTATATGAACAGAGAACTGCTATTGAGCAAGGCTCAGGACAGTGTAACTGAAAACACACAAACCCAGGATTCTGTAGTCAGCTGGACAGGTGGCTTGAGATCTGATTTTTAAATTAAAACTAGAAGTTTAGATGGTGTGTCCCAGGTTCCATTTAGTCAAAACTAGAAGTTTAGATGGCGTATCCCGGTTCCATTTAGTCAGGAATAAGCTATGAGGTGAGTGTGGCGGCACATCTGTAATGCCTGAAAGACAGAGACAGGAGGATCAGGAGTTGAAGGTCATCTTTCTTCACCATAGAGGTCAAAGCCAGACTGGGCTAAGTGACATTCTGTCTTTAAAAAGGAGGTGGGTGAAGGCCTGAAAAATAAATTTCAATCAAGTACCTACACTCAAAAGAAAATGGATTCTTTGGCCAGACATTCAAATTAAACAAATGCATTTTTATATTTTACATTTTAATTATTTTTTCTAGCATACATTTTTTTTTCAATGAAACAGTCTTCCTATGTAGTCCAGGCTGGTCTGAAATCCACTATATAGATGAGACTGGCCTGGAACTCACTCATGGCTATCCTCCTGCCTCTGTTTCCTGCTGTGATTATAGACACCACACTAGCATGCGTGGCTCTTAGGGAGAAATATACTCGGGGACTTCTAACTTCTTTCTTTTTGTTTATTTATTTGATTTTGAAAGAGGGTTTCACTCTGTAACCCTGGCTAGCCTAAACTTGCTATGCAGCTCAAGCTAGACTTAAACTTGCCAAAATCTGATCCTCCTGCCTCTGCCTTCTAAATGCAAGGATAACAGGCAAACACACACTGTCAGGAATTTCCCACAGTGTTTCTAAGGTCCTATCCAAATATTAAGAACCTCTGTGCACAGGGGCAGGGGCAAGGCTGGGAAAACCAACACTTAGAGCACCTACAAAGGTACCTTAAAGAAACAAGGACGGTCTAGAGAACAAGGAAACAGCATCGGAGTTCCTGGCAATGTCTGAGTCACAGAGCCAGGGACAAGGCTTTCTAGGAAACAACACAATCAAAGGAAAAGTTAAGGGTGACTCACTGCGAAAAGAATCAAAAACATCCACGGAACTCGACAGTGAAGCGGTCACGGATGCAATAACAAACTGCAGCTGCAGAGATTGCATTGGATCAGAGAGAAAACGAAAAGTGAGGCAATGGTGGAAACTCTGCAGTCTGCATCTTCAAAGTGGTGAGCTACAAATCAGAAAGTGAGGTGGGCCACAGGCTTGAGGCGAACATGTTTAAACTGAGCACAGGAGGCTGGTTAAAGGAGAGAACCCAGCAGAACTAGAGAAAGCAACTGGGAAGCAGCACACTTAGCTCTTGGACCAACAACACTTCCTCACAGCCCACCCAGCCGTCCCCCAGCAGCAACCCTGTCCTCCATCCATCTCACCACATCCCAGCCCACAAGGCTGGTGGAAGCCGCCTGCTCTACCAGAGGTCTTAGAGGTTCCCAGAGCTTCAGGACCCCAAAGGTCACACAGGCTGCCAAAATCCCAGCAGAGGCACCCTACTAGACCAGAAGACTTGCAAGTTACCAGAACCACATTCTACACAGGCCAGAAAACCAGAGAGAAAACAGAAACAAAGGGAAAAAACATCCACCCAACAAAGACAAAAACCTAAATTACTCCAAGTCTAGATGTCTACAAGCCAACATAAGGTAATAACACAATCAACAACACCCCAGGGCAATATGTCACAACCACAGCCCAGTGATCTTACTACACCAAGACCTGAATATACCAACATAGCTGAAGCACAAGAAAACAACTTTAAAACCAAATTTATGAAGATGATACAGGTTCTTAAAGAGAAAATGAATAAATATTTCTTAAAGAAATTCAGGAAAGCACCAACAAACAACTGGAGGAAATGAATAAATAAAGAAATTCACGGAAATGCAAATAAACAATGGAAGAAAATGGATAAATCCCTTTTTAAAAGCCAAAAAAAAAAAAACCAAACAAACAGTTAAAGGAAATGAATAAATCTCCTCAAGATGTGAAAATGGAAATAGAATCAATATAAAAAAGCCCAACCTAAAGGAATTCTGGAGATGAAAAATCTCGGGAGGTGAACAGGAACTAAAGACATAAGCATCACCAATAGAATATGAGAGAATAAGAGAGAATCTCAGGCATAGAAGATACAACAGAAGAAATTGATAAATCAGCTAAAGAAAATCTTAAATCTAAAAATCTTTCTGTGTGTTTCTCTCCCCCGCCCCTCTCTCTCACACACACCATCCAAGAAATCTGAGACGCTATGAAAAGACCAAACCTCAGAAGAATGGGGACAGAAGAAGAGACATCCCAGCACAAAGACCCAGAAAATAGTTTTAACAAAATCATGGAAGAAAATTTTCCTAACCTCAAGAAGAACATGCCTAGAAAGGTACAAGAAGCTTACAGAACACCAAATAGGCTGGAACAAAAAAGCAAGTTCCCCTACCATGTAATAATCAAAACACTAAACATACAAAACAAAGAAAGAATATTAAAAGCTGCAAGGGAAAAAGGCCAAGTAACATATAAAGGCAGACCTATCAGAATTACAGCCAACTTCTCAATGGAAACCCTAAAAGTTAGAAGGGCCTGGACAGATGTCTTGCAGACTCTAAGAAACCACAGATGTCAGCCCAGACTACTATAATACCTAGCAAAACTTTGAATCACCATATCCCACGACAAAATCAAATTTAAAAAATATCAATCCATAAACCCAGCCCTACAGAAGGTAATAGAAGGGAAATTCTAACCACAGGCAGTCAACTACAACCACAAAAACACAGACAATAGATAATCTCACAGTAGCAAAACCCAAAGGCATGTGCACGCACGCGCGCGTGCACACCCTGTCCCCAACAACAACAAAATATCAGGAATTAACAGCCATTGGTCATTAATATCTATCAATATCAATGACCTCAATTCCCCAATAAAAAGACACAAGCTAACAGAATGGTGCAAAATCAGGATCCATCCTTCTGGTTTTGAAGAAACACACCCTCAACACCAAAGATAGACATCACCTCAGAGTACAGGGTTGGAAAAAGAATTTCCAAGCAAAAGGACACTAGAGGCAAAAATTAATCAAAAGAGATGGGGAAGGACATGTCATTTTCATCAAAGGAAAACTCAATCCAAAATAGCATCTCAATTTTCAACATCTATATGCCCCAAACATGATGGTACCCAAATTTGTAAAAGATATATTACTAAAGCTTAAACCACACATCAAGCATCATGCATTAATAGTGAGAGACTTTAATAACCAACTCTCACCAATGGACAAGTCATTCAGACAAAAACTATGAATGAAGCTAACAGATATTATGAACCAAATGGACCTAGCAGATATCTACAGAACAGTCCACCCAAACACACACACACACACAAAACATACTTTCTTCTCAGCACCTCATGGAACTTTTTCCAAATTGACCACGTATTGCTTCACAAAGCAAGTCTCAACAGATACAAGAAAATTCAATTAACTTCCTGAATCCTATCATACCACCATGGGTTAAAGCTGGATATCAACAAGAGAAACCCTACAAACTCATGGAAATTGAATAACTCTGCCGAATGTCTACTGGGTCAAGGCAGAACTAAAGAAAGAAATTACAGACTTCATAAAATTCAATGGAAATGAATTCAACATACCCAAACTTACGGGACACAATGAAAGTGGTGCTAAGAGGAAAGTTCATAGCCCTAAGTGTCTTCAGAAAGAAATTAGAGAAATCTCATACTAGCAATTTAACAGCTCATCTGAAAACTCTGGAACAAAAAGAAGCAAACACACCCAAAAGAAGCAGGTTGCAGGAAATAATCAAGTTAAGGGTGAAATTAATAAACTGGAAACAAGCCAGGTGCAGCGGCACACGCCTTTAATCCTAGCACTCGGCAGGCAGATCTCTGTGAGTTCAAGGCCAGCCTGATCTACAGAGCAAATTCCAGGACAGCCAGGGCTGTTACGCTGAGAAATCCTGTCATAAATAAATAAACAAACAAACTAGAAACAAAGAGAACAATACAAAGGATCAATGAAACAAAGAGTTGATTCTCTGAAAAAAATCAACAAGATAGACAAATCCTTATATAAACTAACTAAAAGGCAGAGAAAGAATATCCAAATTAACAAAATCGAAAACCAAGCCTGGAACTCCACTGTGCACAGTGGTAGCAACAGTTAGCTCAAGGTTGGCTGTTAACTGTTTTGACCTTAAAATACCTTCCCTTAAGAACACAAACTGTTAAAGCACACTAAGGGCCGGGAGTCTGGGAATTTTCTCACTGTGAAATCAATGCAAAGTTCAGAAGGCAAGGGAGCAAGAGACTGGCTGGGGCACAGGGGTGTCACGCAGAAGTCACCATCAGATACAAGGACTGTTGTATCAGGAATTCGTGGCATTCGTAGACTACACACAGAATGAGGCTCAATGGTGCTAAAATTCATTAGTGTGACCCTAATGGAGAAAGCACCTAAAAGGAAGAATTAGAGATAACCAAGCAAAAGGTGGGGCATATGAGAAGGAACAAGATATGCAAACGAGGGGCTTAGGTTTGGGAGGGGGGTTGTTTGTATGCTTTTTGTTCTTGTTTGTTTGTTTTTGATATGCAGCCCTGGCTAGCTTGGTACTTACTGTACAGTTCAACCTGTCCTCAGACTCATGATCCTCTTTCCTCAATATCCTGAACATTGGGGCTGCAGGCTTGGATCACTACGCCCATCTAAAGAATTCCTGTAACTGCAATGCAGAGGTTTGAGGAAGAAGCGAGGATGGCAGCAGGGCCTCTCACCCTGATGGTTCAGAGCGAAGCAGGCGTGAACCTCTGATAGGATTGTACTTTTGTTGTCAATGGAGACAGTGGTCTTGTCATGACCAGATGAAATCAGTTGAAAGGCTCTTGATAATTCAAGAGATTCAGAGATGCTGTGCAGAGTGAAGACTGGCAACGGAAGAAGGGAGGATTCAGATGCAGGAAAGGAAAGGTCTGAGCATGATTCCAAGCTTTCTGCCTTTAGGTGGCAGCGTATTTCAACAGAGATCCCTGGAGGAAGAACAGGGTTAGGAGAGAGGTAGGTTAAGTTTAGCATGGGTTTGACAGAAGTGTTTGGAGAACCACAAATGACAAGTCTAGCAAGTAGTTTGAGATGAGTTCATCTCAGAAGGGAAGAACTCTGGGGTGGAGATAACGATCCTGTATCAGCGT